AGTGTTTTAATAGGGATCGGTGCGCCAAACCTTGCGTCTCCCTAAGTCTAGCTTAACTCCATGGTACCACCGCGTCGTCGCTGGCACCTGCGGCCGGCCAGGCCTGCGGCGGTGTGGACACGACAGAGGCGCCCGACCGCGACGACGCTCAATATGTCATCCCCCGTAATCACATCACATACACACGTCCACACTCACACCGACACTCCACCAATATCCCAGAAGAAACCTAACGTCCGGCCGAAATCGTCGTGAGATTTTGTCAATTTTAATAGACGACCCCGTGATCTAGTTTTGCAATATCAGCGTACGGGGAAGAGACGATCGATGTTACCAGCTGTCAGTAAATTCCAAATGAAAAGAGCACTTTTTTCACAACAACAAAGGGCTGCCAAGGCAGCAGCGGATCTGGCGCACGTCTTTTTAGCAGTGAAACAAGTGGGTCGGCTCAACACCTCTCCCCTCCCCCTCCTCCTCCTCACTGTCCTTGCCCCCGCCCTCCCGCACCTCTCTTACCCCTCCGCAGGCCCTCCCCACAAAAATACGAGAGCAGGGTCAGGGCCTTCCGAAATCAGACCTGCTCCTGCTACGAAAATGGGAAAAAAAACAAGTAAAAAAGAAACATTATTAAGAAACTACACCCCGAAAGACATCATAAAACTGTTATCAATCACATTTCATTCAGCCTAAATGTACTCAACTACTTGAAGTTTGAGTGCACTAAAAACCCAAGTTATTGTATAGCATATCTTAGAAAGTTATGACCACTGTTGTAAAGTTATGCAAAAAGGTTCAGAATTTTTGTATTCGCCCAATCACAATATTTAAGTTTTGTATAGTTACAGAAGTCAACCGTAGAACTAGTGTGCGTACAGCAAACTTCTTGCAAAGAATTTTGAAGCATTGTAAGGAAGTTTTCATTGCAAACTATTTTCTTTGCATTGCAAACTATTTTCTTCGTAAGTTGCGAAGAAATGGTTTGCAAGGTTACGAACTAATTCTTCGCAGCGTTACGAACGATTTTCTTCGTAAGGTGCGAAGAATTAGTTCGCAATGCGAAGTATTTAGTGTGCAATGCAAAGCATTTTACAACGCTTGAAAATTCTTTGCAATGCAAAGAATAGTTCTTCGCAAAGCTTTTTACAGATGGCAAGTCTTGAAGAATTTTCTTTCCATAAACTAACGACATTTTTTTTCACAGTTAGTTGGGGAGGGTGTAAACTGAGCTTCACAGAGTAAGCCACATCTGCAACGAGCCGCGCCACCCCTTCTACCGAGAACACGTTTTCTTCGTTATCGTCCTGCGAGCTCGTTCACCACCTGGCAGCGAGCACAGGGGACCCTGGGGTTGATTGGCTGCACATTCCGCGAGCACCAACGTCAAAACAGTGTCAACGACGGCAGAAAAAGAACACGCGTACGCAAACGATTCACGCAGTACAAAACAAATCTACAAAACCCACAAAAAATAGTTGCAGGTTTTACTGGAAAACCTTTCATGAAGGGTGTCGTAAATCGTAAATTTACAATTCAAAATTTGTGTAGTTACAAGTACTATGTATGTGTCGACTTGAAATTCATTGACGACGAGCAAGAATGGGCTGTCGTAAATATACAACAGATTTTTAAATTTGTAAATTACAAAAAGGTTGCACGAGGATATTTTACACCGTGAAGTACAAATATCACGCAATCACGTAATCTGAGTTTTTAGCAATAAAGTGTAGGAAAAAATTACAGATTAACATTTTTTCCGCGCTGAACAGCCACCAAATACGAGTGCGATGAGTGTGCTGCGAGCTTTGGCGCTCCTCAACGCGACCAGCGAGTAAACATAAAGTAAGTCATCCCTCATTGCGGGGAAGCAGGGGAACGGGTGGGCGGGAAGAGGGGGGCGGGGTCGTAAAAATACAAACGCTATTTTTAATGCTTAGCGTGTTGCGAATGTACTCATCTCCGCCTGATTCCTTCCACAGACACAGACACACACGCACACACACACGTGCGCGCGCACGAACGCACACAGGGAGGGAGAGATGGCACCGGTGCGGGTGTACGGACGCTCCTGCTGTGACCCGGAGCGCCTGGAGAGAGCAGCATAGGCAACGCGCTCAACAGGTGCGCGCGCGGGGCGTCCGGCTGCCTACCCGACCTCGACAAGGCGCTCTCCGGGAGAGCTGTGCATGAGGGCGTGTAGCGGGAGGGGGGGAGGAAGGTAGGCTGGAGGGAGGAAAGAATGGGGACGCGAAGGGTACAGGGTAGAGGTACCAGAAGAGTTGGAGGAAAGGGACGCTGTTGGAAAGCTATCGAAACTCACCTCATGTTACAGTGAGAACTGCAGCACTGCAAGTTACGCGGTAAGATACGCGGTGCATATGGTGAGCAAGACCGATCATCGTAACTTACACAGTGAAGCCCATCGTAACCT